CGCAGGTTGGTAAGGCCCTAGTTCTTGGCTGCAAAGGTGGCGAAGGCCTTCTTCGTGGCGGGGGTATAGGTGCTTCCATTGCTTCCACCGGCTGCATAATTAATGCAGATGCTTCTTGAACTGAGAGGCCCTCTTTGGCAGATATCTGCCTCCGGGATCTGGTACGCTTTTGCTTCTGCTTCTCGTTGGCGGTGCGCAATTTGCTCACTTCTTTCTCAAGTAAAGCCGTAGATTGCATAGTGATTTGGCAGGCTTTTAAAACCTGGTTTATCGCAGAATTCAACGGGCTCTGGGGGCTCCTTAATCTCGCACGAAGCAATGCTTTAATAGAGGAAGCTTGCTTTTGTAGTTGTATATAGTTGGTAGGCGTTTTTGGCTCCCAATCGCTACCCCGGCTGGATGGGGGGGTCGGGATTCGAAGCCGAATATCAAGCTTCGAAATCACTCTCTCCGGTGAAAAAGGGACTAAACCGGTGCTCCAAAGCTATTTTAATAGTCTCCGATTTAAAGGCTTCAGTTCGTGCGGGGGGGGGTATGCTTCGGGGGAGTCGGGTTTATCGGTATGGTTTATCCCGACCCGCATTTTTGATTCAACCAGCCGACCGTGCAACCGTTTTAAGACCGCAAAACAGCCGATATCGAGAGGTTGTAAAAGATGAGATGAATACGCTGGTATACAAATTGGTATCACCTTATTTCTCTCACAAATTTCGTCAAATTTAGGTGTGAAATGACTTCCGTGGCCGTCGAGTATCAAAAGCCGATACCCCCTTCGTACGCGAAGAAGTAGTAGGAATAAAGAGCTTTTCGAGCCACCGAAGTCCAATTTCATCGGAGGTCCATCCATTCGGACTAACTTCGAAATGCCAATCCTTCGGGAGGCTGTCGAACCAGGATCTAATAAATACTTTACCTTCAAATATCACGCACGGAGGAAGCGCCCACCCGGAAGCATTCGTACACTCGATCACCGTCACCCATTCACGATTTCCAGGTTGTAAAAGTGCTCGCCGACCGTAGTATTCACTTCTCGTAATAACCTTCGCGGTTGCCGTTAATCTCACCGCGAAACCGGTCTCGTCGAAGTTATAAATATCATCGGGGTCGATCCCAAATTGAAGGATAGTTTTTTAAACAAGACTAAACCACTCCCTAATGATTTTCGGGTCTTCGCATTTCGCACGCTCGTAATTATACCGTTTCGAGAATCGAGAGGAGAGGAGAGGACGCCGTTTAACGAATTTTGTGACCCGATTTTGGCCGACCGAAATCACCGGGGTGGTTCCGCGCTTTTCGAGAAGAAGGTTCGCTATTTCTCGTACGGTAGAGGGCCGGGGAGCTGATCCGCGAGAATCC